TTTTGTTTTAAATTAAACGGGCCGGCCCGTCAATCCACGGGCCGATTGCCCCCTTTTGGGGCTCGGCCCGAGCTTTCGCTCGGTTGATCCGAGCCATGAGCCGAGCCGGCTCAAGCTTTTCCTGAGCCGAGCAACAGGCCGCCCGAGCCAACGAGCCTTTTTGACATCCCTATATATGAGTAAACCCTCATCATATCATCATTACATTCCATCATTTAACATATGCAAATACATAAATTAGTTAAACTATGTCATTTGTATGCACGTTCTCCCATCATTTAATTGTTAATGCATACATAAGAAAATATTTCTCATTATTACTCTTCATGTATGACGCCATAATATTTTATAGCACGTGCATTTGTAATGAAAAGTAATAATTTACTGGATTAAATTTCCTAATGTGTGAGAACAAGGTTAAATCACAAATCAAGTTAAACAATTACAATTGTCACGGGTTTTTCTTGTTCTATATTTGAGATTACCCATATATTCTACCTAAATTGGACCATGATAGTTTGGGCAAAGAAAAAATAAAATAATTTATGACATATTTTACCTTAATCGGACCACCTTAGCATGATATTGTGCATTTGATGCGTGAAATATATTTATTGTGCATTTGAGATGTCAAAAAAAATTAAATCAAGTTTATGCATAACTTCTTGCTTCAATTCATGCCATGCAGATTACCAATCCAGAATCAAGTAGTAAGATTAATACAATCCAAACGACATTTTTGTAGTTGTAAAACGTTCAAAAAAATTTTAATTGCTAAAATCCTGTTTGTCAACATAGATATAGCTTTCACGAGGGATGAACTAATTTGAAGATTTGAAAAATTCGAGTAGTAGTTGTCCTTTATCAAAACATCTTAATTCCCCCAAAAATGAAAAAAATGACATTTAACATTCAAACAATTTCTCTATACATTGTAAGGCATGAGAAATTTTTAACTCACAATTTCTCTTGATTGATTTTTTACATCTATACTTTTCTTCATCTAATACGTCACCATACACTCAAAAAACTCAGCCTTTTGGGCTGGAGCCATATATATATCCTTTATATGTTCTCAGTCTTTTGGTCACTTGTAGCCATATATATCCATGTCACGAATTAAAAGCAATACATAGACATATAAAAATATATGTGGAGATGCAGTGGGTGATGGAGGAATATACCGTCCATTAATGACAAGGGTTTGGTTATACCATCCATTAATAAAAAGGTGTGGTCTATCTTAGCGTAGATTCCTTGAAAGGATAACTTAGAAGAACCAGAAATGATAAAATTCATGGTATGTACAAGGCAGATTGGAGTAATAGAAGTTTATTATACGTGGATTCCAAAATTCTAATTTTGTGGACATTTTTCATCAATTTACGGCTAGTTAAATATACTAATTGCTATTGAAATTTACACTTGCTATCGTTTAACTTTTCGTCTTTCAATTTTATTTCAACAAAAAAATTTAGTGAAATGATTTTATATAGCTGCTTGTTGGGTTATAAAAAAATTGTTTAGTTTGACGACATAATTTATTTCGTTCAAATCAATTACAAAATTTACTGTATTGTCAATTAATATAATTCTTCCAATTTCCACTATAACAAAATGAACATTTTACTAGCATTAAAAATAGCGACTTTAAATTTTGAAATTGATATATATTCGTGGTCCTATTCATTTCTACCTAAAACGGGTTATATATTAAAGACTAGAACGAAATCATTAGTACAAACACATGACCTATTGTTTAATGATGTTGAAAAGAACACAAAAATGGAAATCACTTGCAGTCTAAAAGGTCATTTTCTTGTGAATGAGGTTTATACAAAAATTATATCAATCTACTGTTTGGAAAACATTTATTTTCTTTAGTTCTTGTTAGGCAATTTGCTGTCAAACGACCTCCTAGACAATGATGTAACCTTGGTTTTATTTATTATCAGTCGGCCTTTGCCATATGATCGAATTATATGTCGACACTATCATCGAGACAACCCAATCTAATTTTTTACTGACCATTAGAAGCAGCCTATTTTAATAGTGTTGCTCGTGGTCCGTCCCATTTACTTGGATGGCTACAATATCCATTTGGAGCCCATTATCTTCGTGCTAAGCCTTTTTTTGGACCACTAAGTTAACCTAGCCTAACTTACATTATTTGGTCACTCTCTTAGGCTATAATTCTCGGCTGATGCAGGAGGATCTGAGTCAAGTGATGCTGATTTGTCAGATAGTACGATGATGGCGCTGAGATACCATGAGATGGTGGATCGGTGCAAAGATGGGAAGTGAATCGCAATTATTTCATTAATTGGGGGAATTTGACACATTTCTGGTAATTTGGTCATAACTTTGGCTACTGTTAACAAAATCGCTATTATGACCCCAATTCGGAAAACTCTCTTCGGCATGCATGTCGTGGCCACTAGTTATGCTTGGTAGGCATCAATTTCGAGTCCAAAATTCGCTGTTTTCCTTTCTAAAATTCAATTTTTAGTTTTTTTTGCTATTTATGATAATATTTCGTTTCCCTTTTTCCATATGTTAGAAAACTTGAACTGAGCCAAATTTTTGGCAACCTACTTCATTTACTAAATATTTTATTCTGGTGTAATTTCAAGATTTTGCCATTTTTGACAATTTTCCTTTAATTTTATATTTTGCAGCTATTTAACCCGGCTTGTGGGTTAATTTTGATCATTCTGCATTATTAATAATATTGAGTTGATTTCAGAATATTTTCTCTGATTTTTTTGGGCATTTTCTTTCGTTTCTTTCTTGTGAATCATCTGCTACAACAAGCCAATAGGATAATCACTATCCTACCCGGCGTCAGTTGGTATCAGAGCTTTAGCATCTTCTTGGGAGATAAATTCCATCAGTTATAATGGTTGGTGGACGTGATCGTGGTTGTCGAGGACAGGTTCCAATTGAGGAAGTCCTACACCATGATCGTAATATTCAGGATGTGACGATTGAAGATTTGTAGAGATATATTGTGGAGTTAACCCAACATTTGACGGAGCAGGAGTTCAGTAATTATGATGTGGAGGGTCACGATTCCAATACAATTTTCAAAAACCCGTATAACCATCGTGCTCGAGTTTGGGAGCATCGTGGATGGGAGGATCGTCATGTGGATCTTAGTTTCAGAGTGGGTCTCCCCGAGTTTTCTGGTACGTTGCAGGCTGAAGGATTTATTGATTGGCTGAATGAAGTGGAGTGAATTTTTGAATATAAGGAGGTTTCAGATCGTGTCAAAGTGAAACTGGTCGCCATCAAACTCAAAGGTAGAGCATCTGCATGGTGAGAATAGTTGAAGCGTTCACGGGAGCGACAGGAAAATCTAAAATTACTAATTGGGAGAAGATAAAGAAGAAGATGAAAGGACACTTCCTCCCCTTCGACTATACTCAAACCTTGTTTCAGAGGCTCCATTCATTGAGGGAAGGCGCAAGATTAGTTAATGATTATACTGAGGAATTCTATCAGCTTGTGGCTCGGAATGATTTATCTGAGACGGAGGAGCAGATGGTAGCACAGTATTTGAGGGGATTAAGGTAGCCCCTGCAGGATGTTCTCAACCTTCATTCATTGTGGACGATTTTTTAGGCATATCAGTGGGCACTTGCAGTGGAGAAACAGCAGAGTAGGAGACCAGTGGTCAGAGGTGAAGGTAGTCAGCCAATTCGCCCTCAAGAATCTTATCCTGCTTATCAGCCACAGCGGGACAATTTCAGCTCAAGTATTAAGTATTTCAGGAATGGTGAGCAGGGGCATAAGGCGATTGACTGCAGGAAGCCTGCTGGTCAGAAGAATAAAAATCTTCTGATTGAGGAGGATATGATAAAGGAGTTCGAGAAAGTTGGGGAGCCTGTGTATGATGATGGTGAAGATGAGGACGTGCTATATGGAGATGGCCAGGAGGCCCTTGTCGTTCGAAAGAGCCTGCTGACTCCCAAGGGTGACTCAAGCGACGATTGGTTGAGGACCAACGTTTTTCACACAACCTGCACAGTTGCTAATGAAGTCTGCAAGCTAATAATTGATAGTGGCAGTTGTGAGAAAGTAGTGTCTGAGGAGGCTATCGAGAAACTGTAACTGAGGACGGATCGTCATCCTAAACCATACAAATTGTCTTCGTTGAATAAAGGTAGTGAGGTGACGGTAGAAAAATGGTGCTTAGTGTCTTTTTCGATTGGGAAAAAATATTTTGATAATGCTTGTGTGATGTGGTATCAATGGACGCGTGTCATATTTTGTTGGAACAACCGTGGCAGTATGATTGCAGTGTTATCCATGATGGGCGGAAGAATACTTATTCTCTTAGCGTCAAAGGGAAGAAAATTGTTTTAGCGCCTCGCAGGAAAGAAAACATCCTGGCCCTAGTAGTTAATAGCACCAATTTACTTTCTATGTCCAGGTTCTTGGTTGAGGTTCGGCGTGAAAAATTAGTTTATGCTTTAATGCCTCATGAAAATAGTGCAGCAAATGTGGATTAGGAATTACCAGCAGAAGTGTAGCAACTACTGATGGAGTTTTCTGACTTGATGCCAGAGGATCTTTCTCCAGGATTACCACCTATGAGGGACATTCAACATCAAATCGACCTTATTCCGGGGTCGAGTCTACCAAATCGACCAGCATATCGCCTCAGTCCCAAGAAAGCTGAAGAGTTGCAGCAATAGGTGGTAGAATTATTGGAAAGGGGTTACATTCGTGAGAGTATGAGTCCTTGTACAGTTCCTACGCTACTAGTACCGAAGAAAGATGGGTTCACGGCGTATGTGTGTTGAAAGCAGGGAATTAACAGGATTACAGTGAAATACATGTTTCCAATTCCCCGTTTGGACGACATGTTGGATCAATTTTCCGGTTCTAAGGTCTTCTCAAAAATTGACCTTGAAAGCGAATACCACCAGATCAGAATTAGGCCTAGAGATGAGCGGAAGACCGCGTTCAAGACTTAGCATGGATTGTACGAGTGGATGGTCATGCCCTTTGGACTATCCAACCCACCCAGCACTTTTATGAGATTTATGCATCAGGTTTTACGGCCTTTCATGGAGAAGTTTGTGGTAGTCTATTTTGACGACATGCTTATTTATAGTCCAACATGGGACTTTCATTTTAATCATCTTCATGCTGTCTTTGATATAATAAGGACGAAGCACTTATTCATCTATTAGAATAAGTGTTCTTTCTTCACAACTTCTGTAACCTTTTTGGGTTTTGTTGTGTCTATTGATGGCGTTCATGCACATCAATCCAAAATTGAGGCAGTTTTGAATTGGCCCAAGCCAAAAACTTTGCACGATGTTAGGAGTTCCCATGGATTGGCATCCTTCTATCGTCGGTTCATTAGAAACTTTAGTACATTGATTGCTCATATCACAGAGTGCCTTAAAGGGCTTGATTTTTAGTGGACCGAGGAGGCAGAGGCTAGCTTTCAGTTGGTTAGGCAGAAGATGATAGAGGCCCCAATTTTGGTACTTCTGGACTTTGAGAAAGTGTTCGAGGTAAATTGTGATGCGTCTGGAATTGGTATTGGTGGTGTTCTGAGTCAGGAGGGGCGTTCAGTAGCCTTTTTTAGTGAGAAGCTATCGGGATTGAAGAAAAATTATTCCACTTATGACCTGGAGTTCTATGTCATAGCTCAGACTCTGAAGCATTAGCTTCATTACCTGGTACAGAGGGAGTTCATCCTTGTTACTGATCATGAGGCCTTGAAGTACATCAATGGTTAGCACAAGCTGAGTAGGCAACATGCAAAGTGGGTGGCGTACTTGCAGGAGTTTACTTTCACACTAAGGCATCAAACAGGGAGTTTGAATCGAGTAGAAGATGCATTGAGTCGTCGCACATTACTCCTCACCACCATGAGCACCAAGATTGTCGAATTTGAGGCATTTCCTGATATGTATGCTACAGATCCTTCATTTGGAAAAATAATTTGGGAGGTAACTGATAATCACCGACATGATGTTGTTTTACATAATGATTACCTATTTTGTGGATTGCAGTTATGCATTCTGGATTGTTCGCTAAGGCAGCAGATTATTAGTGAACTTCATAACGAAGGACATTTTGGGCGAGACAAGACATTGGCATTAGTCTCTTCTGATTATTTCTGACCCAAGTTGAGTAGCGATGTGGCGCATTATGTGGAGCGGTGTTATGTATGTCAGCAGTCTAAATGAGCTCTTACTAATGCTAGATTGTACATGCCATTACCTGTACTTGAAGCTCCTTGGTTTGATGTCAGCATTAATTTATCTTAGGCATACCTCATACATAGTGGGCGATGGATTCCATTCTTGTTGTAGTTGACAAATTTTCAAAGATGGCTTATTTTGTGGCTTGCCACAAGACAATGGATGCTACTCGAATTGCTCATCTTTATTTCAGAGAGATTGTGTGTTTACATGGTGAATCGGAGTTTGGGAAATCTTTTGAGAAGCTTGGTAGGGACTAAACCGAAGCAGTGGGATTTGACATTACCTCAAGCAGAGTTTGCTTATAACCAATTGAGGAATAGAACTACCGAATTGAGTCTTTTTGGAATTGTATATGGTCGGAACCCATCCGAGGTACTTGATTTGGCTCCAATTCCACGTATGGGTGGCTTTAATAACAAAGTTGATAAGATGGTTGAACATCTTCGGGGCATCCATGAGCAGGTGAAGTTGTCCATACAGGATAGTAATACTAAGTACAAGGCTTAGGCAGATAATCATCGGCGCCAGGTGTTGTTTGATGTTGGTGATTTTATTTGGGCAGTATTAACTCGTGATCATTTTCTAGCTGGGGAGTACAATAAGCTAAAGGAGTAGAAGATTGGACCTTGTGAAGTACTGCAAAAGATCAATGATAATGCTTACAGGTTGCACTTCCCTAGCCATTTGAATACCTCTGACGTCTTCAATGTGAAACACCTAAGCCCTTATTTTGTGGAGTCTGATAAAGCTATTGTGTACTCGAGGGCAAGTTCTTTCCAACCTGGGGTGACTAATGCAGGAAGATCCGAGTCGAATGATGCTGATTTGTCAGATAGCATGATGATAGTGTTGAGATACCATGAGATGGCGGATCGGCGTAAAGATTGGAAGTGAATCGCAATTATTTCCTTGATTGGGGAAATTTGACACGTCTTTGGTAATTTGGCCATAACTTTGACTACGGTAATCAGAATCGCTATTATGGCCTAATCCGAAAAGCTCTCTTTAGCGTGCACGTCGTGGCCACTGAGCTATGCTCATGGGCATCAGTTTTGAGCCCAAAATTTGCCATTTTCTTTTCCAAAATTCAATTTTTTGTTTTTTTTGCTATTTATGGTAATATTTCATTTCCCTTTTTCCATATGTTAGAAAACTCGAATTGAGCCAAATTTTTTGCAACCTACTTTTTTTACTTAATATTTTATTCTGGATTTTATTCTGGTGTAATTTTGGGATTTTTCTATTTTTGGTAATTTTCCTATAATTTCGTATTTTGCAGTTATTTAACATGACTTCTGGGTTAATTTTGGTCATTCTGCATTATTATTAATATTGAGTTGATTTCAGAGTATTTTCTCTAGTTTTCTTGGGTGTTTTCTTTCGTTTATTTCTTGCAAATCATCTCCTACAACAAGCCAATAGGATAATCACTATCCTACCTGGCGTCATCGGCTCCCCTACGCCTCCAAGATGCCGTCTTCTCCACCTCTCTTTGCGACCTCTTTCTCTCAAGCAACCTGTGTGGTTTCTCTTGGGTAATATTGTTCCCATCTTGGCCGACTCTTTGTGGGTATGAATAGCAACCGTAGGTGGGAAGAAGAAAAGAGAAAGTTTGGGTGTGTCTCGATAGTGGTGGTGTCGACTTTGGTGGAAACTGAGCCCGATATCACCTTGGGTATTGCTGGATTTTTGGCTTCACATCTGGTATCAAAGCCAAGGGCTTGATTTCTGTGAGAATCAGTCCAAAATTGAGAGAGAGAGAGAGATGCCATTCTTCAAATTGATCGAACTGAAATTTGTTAATTACTCTCAAACCATACCTCTATTGGATAAATGGACCTCGGAACCATCATCAGCAGGTTGAGGTGCCCCTGTGAGGCGGTGCATGGGCGACGACGATCGGCTGTGACGACGGTGCGTGGAGGAGCTCCTGCGTGGTTTTTTCGTGCCATTCCATTTATTTTGATTCCCTGAATGTACTAATGTGTTTGGTTTAGTGTTTCAGGTTGTGCAGAAAATTATGAACAATTTTGCCCCTATTACAATATGCATTTGTTGCTAAATAAACTATTATATTTGCTAAATCTTTAGGGCGAATAGTGGTGGCCCTAAAGCAGCAAATTCACATATCTCCATGTTACGGACTCAGACACGTCCGCTCTGGTAAATTGGCTAAAACATTTAAATTTTCGCACTAGCAAATCATCGTGTGGGGTGATAATTAGGATTGGGGGTTGTCATTGCTTGACAACCATTATTTGTGCTAGAAATTAAGGTTACGTGCTCTTGATTATTTGATTGAGTACTTGTCTTTTAGTTAAATTAGTATTTAAGTCTTAATGATATAATTGCCGTGAAACTAATTATCTGTTAGACGTAGTTTTATGTTCCATTGTTACTTTCGATGCTTATTAATTTTGTTAGAATTACCATGACCTTACCCATTTCAAACATTCCCTTGATCTAAGATCCCGAGTCTTACAAAACCCTGAGAATCTAGAATGGCATATATTATCTGAAACCCTAGGACGACTTTGTGTGGTTTGATTGTGTTTTGTACACTCTTTGACTATTGTGTAAAGATGGCAACTCACAACTTTGATTTGGGGATCTTTAGCGGAAAAGGTGATTTTGTTATTTGGCAACAAAAAATGAAGGGCATTATAGTCCAACAAAAAGTTTCAAAGGCCATTGAAGGCATTTTTTCAACTGATTTTTCACAAGAACAAAGAGAAGAAGCCGATGAGCTTGTTTATACCTCAATCATTTTACACTTGTCTAACGCTATTTTAAGAAAGGTGGGTAAACTGAAAAACACCAAAAAACTTTGTAAAAAATTAGAGAAACTTATATTTGCTTAAGTCTACATCGAATAAACTTTACTTGCTCGAACGTTTTTTTAGTTTTAAAATGGATCCTTCAAAGGATCTTAATGACAGTTTAGACGCGTTTAACAAGTTGGTGCAAGATATAGTTAATTGTGATGAGGCTGTGTCCGAAAGTTATAAGACTATAATTTTGCTTAATGTTATTCCTGATTCCTATAAGGAAGTTAAGAACGCCATTAATTATGGCAGATATACATTGACACCTGAAAATTGTCATAGACTCCATTAGAAGTATAGAAATGAAAATTAGGACTGAAAAACATGATAAGAGGAGATGTGAGTTACATATGATGTGGGGTAGAACTCAATTTAGGCAAAATAGTCATGATGGATATCAAATTGGTGGCGAGTCAAGTGGCAATAAATGGAAAAAGAAGAGCAAAGGTAGGCTTAGATCAAAATCTAGGACTAAGGTAAGAAAATGCTATGGTTGTGGAAACACAGGGTATTTTATAAAGGATTGCTATAAAGAAAAAGGGTAAGCTAAATGTTAAGGAGAGAGATGAGGTTAATGTGTTATCATTTACTTTCAATATAGATGGTGGTGAGGTCTATATGATTACAAGTCTCGTTGCATAGACTGCTGAATTAAACCTAACTACTGATTCCTACATGCATGAGTGGATACTTGACTCTGGTGCATCTTTTCATGTGACTTTTGAAAAGAATTAGTTTTATAATTTGCATGAATCTAATGTTGGGCATGTTGTGCTGTGTGATAACTTTGTCTATACTATTGCTGGAATTGGTGACATAAACATAAAATTTGACACAAGTTTTGTGTACACATTAAAAGATGTTAAATATATTCCTGAATTGTCTAAGAATCTGATTTCAGTAGGGAGGCTTGAAAAGGATGACTTCACTGGTAAAATTGGAAATGGTATGTTAAAAATGATCAAGGGTGCTTTAATTTTCATTAAGGAAACTAAGAAAAACGATATCTATATCACTACTGGAAAAGTGATTAGAGGTTTGAACTCTTCTATCTCTTCTGCCAAGATTGATCACACACACACATGGCATAATAGACTTGCTCATGTAGGCATCAAGGGACTTAAGCTACTTAATGAAAAAGGTGCATTTGGTAATGACACTGTGTTAGATTTGTCATTTTACGATCACTGTGTGCTTGGTAAGCATCATAAAACTTCATTCTCCATGAATGTTAGTAGAGCTAAAGGCATCCTTGAATATGTGCATTCTGATCTGTGGGGTCCTACTAGTAATCCCATATCGAGTGTGAATAGGTATTTCTTGTCTATTATCGATGACTATACTAGGAAAGTGTGGGTCTATCTATTGAAAGATAAATCTGAGACTTTTCATAATTTTAATAATTGGAAAAGACAAGTGGATAACCAAACTGACAAGAAAATCAAATTTTTAAGGACAGATAACGGGCTAGAATTTTGCAATATGGAATTTGATAGTATGTGTAAGGAAAACGACATAAAAAGACATAAGACCATTCCGTACACTCCCTAGCAAAATGGGGTAGCGGAAAGGATGAATAGGACCATATTTGATAAAGTACGTTGCATGATGTGAAGTTGTGGTGTTCTTAAGTCGTTTTGGGATGAGGCTGTTATGACTGCTTGTTATTTGATTAATTTGACTCCTTCTGCTACATTGAATGGTGACACTCCGCATGAGAGATGGTCGGGTAAACTGAGTAATCACTCTATGTTTAGAACTTTTGGCTGTACTGCTTTTTCTCATCAGAGTGAGGGAAAGCTAGAATCTAGAGCTAGGAAGTGTGTCTTTCTAGGATATCCCGAGAGTGTTAAGGGGTATAAGTTATGGGATAGAAGTCAAAAAGGGGTTAAGATCATCGTAAGTAGGGATGTCACATTTAATGAGAATGAGATGTCGTGTATTAAAGGGAAAATCGAACCTGAGAGTGAAACTGAACCAAGTGAAGAGAGAGACCAGTTTAAGGTGGAGTTAGGAAAACTCAATACACCTACTCCTACTACTCCTAATGAGGTGGAGATTCATGTTCAGGAACTTGAACTGGAGAATAGT